CCTCCTTCAATGACATATATTTGTCCGTAGTGGGCGGGTTTTTTATTATGTCTTTAATTTCCGAGACATACTTATATTCCAAATTTGACACTACATAGTTATACTTAGTAGTGTCCGCCGTGATATTTGCCAACGTGAACTGGCTTTCTATCTGTGCGAACCATAGCACGGGTTCGTCGGGCCAAAATGGCGGCACTTTGACACTGACGCTATTGATACCGGGAGCGCCATGCGCGTCTTGATTGTCCATCACGTCGGGGTCACCAATATATGGGGGTGTAGAGTTGGTATAAATGAAACCCCATATATTTAAACACACATGTATATTCACTGCACTTAATAAATTAATACAATGTATCGTTTAACTATTATTGTTGGCTTGTGTCGCGATACGTGGCGTAGGTACGATCGTACGACCTGCCGGCGCCGAAGCTCGGTAATGACTGGGGTGAAGCGTCTCCCGCGCAGTGTTGCCAGTCCCCACATGTGGTACCGACCACATCTTTTTATTGACATCCTTCTTAACTTTAATGTAATCTTTCGTAATTTGTAAATTGATCTTCATATTCTCGGTTGGAACCACAAAGTTCATTGTCCAACTCCCAATGCAAGCTATCAATCGCAGTCCACCGGACTTGCAAGGTCTTTAAGATGTCTTCAAACTCCCACTTTTCCGAGATAAGGTCAAGTTCTATGATTGAGGCAGTTCTCAGAAAAGACTTAAAATGTGTAGCTTGTTTTTTCATGAGCTCTTCTGTTTAACTCATATTAGAGTTATTTTTGAGAGATGCTTCCTGAGATTCATTAAAGGTCGATACGTTAGAGGTAAACGAGGATTGAAACGTTGGAGGTTGTAATTCAGGTGATTTTGTAATGCTTGCCAAAGGCTTATAATTTATTAAGGTTGTCCAAATATTACCATATTTTTTCTTAATCTGCTCGTATTTATTAAAAGTAAAATATTCATGAGACTAATTACCAAAAAATAAAAGTGTCATATGGTTGTTATGAATAACTGTAAAATATTGTTCTAACGTTTCTAAACGACGACGTATATACGTATAATCGGGAGTCTTTCGATCTGCTCCATCCTTCTTAAAGTTGATATCTGAGGTTGAAGCTTATCCAATGCGTCCACCAATTGTTGTTTGGTAGCTAAAATATCTTCCATTGTGGACATAATTAAAGATTTTAAGAGATAACAATATAACCTTACTTGTTCAGCTGATAAGTTGCTCAAGATATCCTCGCAATACCTGCAAGGTTGTACTGAATCCTAAGGTCGTCTTCGGCGAGGTACTGTCCAAATTTTGAGATGTAGTGTGCCTTCCTAAGGCACCAAGGTCAAGAACTAAAGAGATGTATTATGCCTTCCTAGGGCACCGAGGTCACGAAGTGAAGAGATGTAGTGCCTTCCTAAGGCACCGAGGTTACGAGGTGAACAGATGTAGTGCCTTCCCAAGGCACCGATATCCCGAGGTGTACAAATTTTGAGGTATATTGCCTTTCTTAGACAATGTGATTAGGATAAAAGAGGTGTATCCATAAATCGTAGTTCTAGATGTATTCTTTTGATACGCAGGTATCAGTATAACACACACACTAAGCACAAAATATTGCGAAAGCACACGCGCCCTGATACTGCCACAAATACGACTAATGGCTCGAAGGACCAATGTTCGGGCTTGGGATAAATTATCAAGATATTTAAAGGGATAGTTACGTATTTAATGAGCAATGTACGAGGTCTGAATGCGAACGAGGTGCTCCAGATTATTTAGGCGATCAGATAGTACTGACACAGTAGATGTACCACAAAGAACGGTTCGGTGGCCGTCGATACACAATTCATATTAAAATAATAAGTCTTGAGTACATACCTCGTTATAATGTCTCCTTACAGGAAGATAGGCACACAATATTATCAGCCGTAAGGATTTGGATTAGTTTTAGTTTGGGCACAAAAAGAGGTTAGACTGATGATGATTGATATCTTGCCTCACAATAGTTCTATAGTATAGTGAGTGTTTAGTGCGTGTTTAACGCACTAAACACTCACTATAAAATTCTAAATAGTGGACGTTATCTATAATCAACTATAATTAACAAAAAGTATATATGTATTATCCAAATAAAAAATGCTAGATGCACGAGAACACGTAACCCGAAAATCTCAACAAAGACTATCAAAAAATGTGTCGATCGGCCGTGTGTAAATATTTGGCATCACCCTCATCAATTTTATAAAATTAATATAATGTATTTCGAACAGTAGACTTGATTTCAAAATTCTCCCTAGAAATTAATGCATTTTATCTTTGGCTAAAGTTTCTATTGGAGAGTGCATTTCATCATGCATTGTGATCAGGAAAGCAACAGATTGCCGAAAATCCAACATGTAATCCTTAATATATCAGTCTTCAAGATACTAGATATCATCTGCGGCAGATCAGTTTTAATAGCTTCAAATACTTGGTCACTTATAGCTGATACCAAGGCGTCCCTATCCTGAAATAAACCAGTATAACCAGGTATCTGTTGATTGCTTCTTTTTTGTAGTAACGTTTTCCGTACCACTATCTATATCACAAATTTTAGAAACCTCCCTTTCATCCTCTCTGAGGTTTCGCACAGGTGTATTGGTGTTGCCCACTTTTGTAAGTTCACTTCTGCAATCATGACTTATCCACTTGTTTTTTTTCTCTTTAGAAGAGAATTTCTTTTTATCTTATATATTTGCACATACAAGGTCATAGGACTTATAAGACTTGCTACATTTAAAAAAAAATCGGCTATCTATTGTTTCGACAACCTGCACACTCCAAGACGCCATCTGTGAATTCTAAGCGGTACCAAATACGCCAACAATCGAATAGGTGTAGAACTGGATTTTGTTGTTATGCACTTTACAAACTTCAATGTATTTATTTAATTGTGTGGATTCATAGTACAAAGTTGTTATATACTCAATAAGATTCTTTGTTCTAAGTCACTTGCACTAGATTTGTTCACGCACTTTTTGTTTTGGTAAAACGAAAAGACACCTAAGTCAAAGTCACCGATACAACAACACGAATTAAAAAGTAAAATTTTTCTCTTGTTTACACATTCAATAGACTAGATATTCAAGTAGTGCCTACCCGCAATACCGTTTAATAAATATATAAATAAATCCTTTATTTGCCATGATAGTGGTACAAAATAAAAAAAAACGAACAAGAAAAGTCCGCACAATCAGCCATACATAAACAGGCATGCGATGTCATAATAAGAAGTCAAGTCATTTATGAGTAATTGTTAAACTTATGTTCTAAATATTCGGTCACGCTATAAAAGCACCTTGACTTTAAAAACCTAATCACCTTCCCCTTGAAAACATTACAGCGATCTATAATTTCTAGGAAGGTGATTAAATATTCTTACAGCCATGGCGTAACAATTTTTGGAGTATAGCGCGGTGCAACACGCAGGCACCCGCAGCCGTGTTGGATCCCTCGGTATATACAAGCAAGTTTCTTTGTAAGTTTTAAATAATTGTGGATGCTTCTTGACAGTCATAACAGCTTCAAAGATATACAAACTTGGTACTGTCAGAATACCGAGATCGTGAAAAATTGGTCTACAGCTTATAAGAGGTCCAACGCCCATGATAGCCCTAATACATTTTTTCTGAGTAATAAAAACTTTACTCACATCTACCGAATTTCCCCATAAAAGGATACCATAGCGCAAAACTGAGGCAACATAGCCGTGATAAGCAATAATTGCTGCGTGTTTTGAAGCATCTTTGCGAGTTCGACTCAAAGCAAAAACATATTTATTTAGGCGCGTGCATATAGTTAAATTGTGTTGTTTCCAATTAAGATTTTGGTCTAGTGTTAAGCCTAGAAACTTGCTTGATACAGCTTCTTCAATTGACTCGTTTTTATAATTGATTTTGAGGTTATTGGGTCTGCAATTATTATAATTCCGAAATTGTATAAAATTGTTTTTTTATACATTTACACTTAAATTATTAAATTCCAACCATTCCGTGACATTTCTTACTGTTTCAATCAATAATGATTCGTGGTTACGCGTAGTATCATTCAACACGACCACTGAGATATCATCCGCATAAAGAATGCATTTATTACTAACCAGATTCGGTAAATCATTAATGTACAGAAGAAACAGCAATGGGCCCAGTACGGCCCAGGAACGCCTTTATTGCAATCTATAGCCACAGACTTGTACCTCCTTTCAATATGTTTAGGAGAGAAGTATGTGTGATTTTAACATAATTATTGTTTACGACCGGTTAGGTAACTTTCCAGCCAATTTAAAGGCAATCCTCGGATTCCGTAAAGTCTACACTTTTGAAGAAGAATGTTGTAGTCTACGCAATCAAGTGCTTGGCTCATGTCAAAAAAAAACTACAGATACCTGCTTGCGCCTATCGATATGTTCTACAATTGCCTTAACTAAAGAGAAAGCTGCTAGGATAGTATTTTACCTCTTTGAAAACCGTACTGTTCCTCATTTATAACACTGAATTTGCCTAAAAAGAGCTCAACCTATTGTGCATAAGTTTTTCCAACACTTAAGCTAAAGTTGGTATTAAAGTTATGTCTGTAGTTTCTAATATCCTCTGTATTACCCTTTTTAAACATAGGTTTAACTATCGATAATTTTAAAGAACTGGGAAATATACCCTGTGTGAAAGATAAATTTTATGAGATGGGTAAGTATACTTGCTAGTTGTTGTGAGGAGAATTTTAACACTTCTGTTGTTATTCCGTCATAATCTGCCGCTTTAGTATTATTAAGATTATTTATAGCTTTTAAAACTTCGTCACATGAACAAGGAGTTAGAAATAAGGATGGGTTTACAGAATGAACGTTTTGAAGATTAGTGCTAGGTTTGTTATTGTTAACTAATAATAATGATGGTTGTGTTTAAACATACCGCGATTCAAGCAACCACGGACGACATCTATTGGTTGAACATAGAACTATAAATGTTTAAACATACCGCCCACCATGGACAGAATGTACATCACCTAAAACAAGTGATAGGTACTCAGACGTTGACCTTTGAAGAGATGAGCACTCTTCTGTACCAAATAGAAGCCTGTCTCAATTCCAGACCATTGTCACAATTAAGTGTGAACTCACAAGATCCTACACCTCTTACCCCAGGACATTTTCTTGTCGGCGAGCCATTGGTTTTGGTGCCGGACAGCAATTATGAAACCTCATCGGTTTCTTCACTAAAGCGCTGGCAGCTAACGCAACAGTTGCTGCAGCATTTTTGGCGTAGGTGGTCAAATGAATATCTCACGCAGTTCATGCAACGTTACAAATGGGCACATCAAAAACCAGAACCGAATGTTGGTGATATTGTTTTAGTTCGAGAGGATAATCTTCCTCCAGCAAAATGGTTATTAGGGATTATAACGGATAAACATGCAGGTTCGGACAATATTACGAGGGTTGTTAGTCTTAAATGTAAGGATGTTATCGTTAAGCGTCCTATAACCAAATTATGTGTATTGCCTGTGACGAAGTAAGATATTTGGGTAAATCTGATGTTATCGTTTTTTTTTTTTTTTTTTTTTCTTAATCTAATAGATTATATATGTTAATACTAACACTAAACTAAGTCATAAAACTAAAGAGCCTAGGAATTATAACCAGGTCAGGCCTTTTCTGACTCTCTTTTTGCAATAGATAAAACACCTAACCTACCTAACTTAATAAGCATAGTTCCTATTGTAGTAAGACTAAGCATCATAGTTAAGGAACTCACCAGTGAACCCCAGAAATTTGGGTCAGTTCCAATATTTGCTGCTATATCAGCGAAACTTTCTGATTGTATACTCCTCATGCTGCTAATTTCTCCTCGGAAGATGTATTCAAAATCAAAATCTAAGGTTTGGTTAAGCTTTGGTATTTCAACTCTACAATTCTTGTTTGATGAAAGTTGCTTGGCTATGTAAGGTTCATTGGAACATTGAAAGAATGGCACATCCCAGGTGCAGTTTGATATGTACTCCACTGCACCATCTGTAGTCATCTTATCTGAGGACATCACGGCAAAAGGCTTATCTAAACATCCATCACAGGCAGATGTCATTATGATGTTGATTCTGCATTTTGCATCAATAACAACTAGTTCCTTAAGCTGCACACTTCCAAACGATATTGTTACTGTCCCTGTGACATCTTCGTTCCTACTCACCCAGTTCTCACTTTCAGACACCACAGTTCTGAAGTCATCCTTAGACAGTAAATATGGAGAGTTGGATGTGAGCCTGTTTAATGCTGGCTCCTTAGTTGTGCATGACACTATGCAACCTGCTGTGGAACAGGGGAGGTGGACTTCACTAAATACAATACTCTGAGCAGTGTCAAGTGATATCTGTAAATCACCAATTATGTTCTCTTGAGGCATGTTTAGTGCACTAGCTACTACCCCATAATATTTCCCCTTGTATGATAACATGGTTGGACGAGAAGCTGGCCTTTCATATGTAAAGGTATTTATCACTAGTGGTATGTTCAAGGCAGTTGAAGGCATCATAGTCTCCATATTTACAAAAGGAGTGTTGCTGTTTAAGGTAACAACCTTCTTGATTCCTCTGTAAGTTGTTTCTATTTCCACAATCCACAGCTCAGAAGATTTAGCATAAACTAATCCACAGTTGCTGTAGTCAGGATTGACCTGCCATCTATACCATACACATCTCGATGTGTAATGGCAGTACACATCACAGCCCAATGAGTCTATTTGGCACCCATATCCATGCGGCTCTTTTGTAACCCTACTCGGTGTGTTTAGTTCGTAATTAACAGTGCATCTATTTCCTTCCCAACATGCGCCACTGCCTTTGCAATTATACCACCTTGTTGTCGTTACATTATAAGAGCAAGTCTTGTATAGCTTGGTGTACCTTGAAATATGGGTCCCTTTTTTGATTCTGAGTTTTAGCATGTCTCCGTTAATATCATTGAAACATATTACCTGACCTTGTGTTATAGTGGTCATGTATGTGTCTATTGGCTGGCATTTATCTTTCACACATACTGTCCCTTTGCTAGAAAGATACAAAACCTTATCACATGCATGTGTTAGTCTGCCTGACAGGCATACAATAAATAAACATGCAAGAAGGTACATATTAGCATCATGACCTGTGTAATAGACACATCTCGACTGACTCGAGTTTGTTCTTGGCGGCAATTCTGGCAATGATGGTTTTGTTCTTGGCTTCAGTAAATTCTTTGGTTCATAATTCATGTTTGTTTCGCCTTCATTCCTTTCCTTGTAAATGATGTCTCCATACAATGGCTCATCACCGTTGACATCCTTTCTTAGTGCCAGTCTTGTGTCTATAATTTTGTTCATTAGATCATTGTTTGGGACGCTAAATTCCCTGAACTTAACTTGATCATTCCTCCCAGTTATTTTGTTGTGCCTCTTTACTTGAAATGCTCTTCTTTTGTCTGATCTTGTCAGCAACCAAGCACCCACTTGTATAGATGTGGTGTAAAATGAGTTGTTGAAGCAGCATAAGAATGTTAATATAATGACAAGTGCCAGTATTGCTGCAATGACCACTCCGAGAATATATGCTGTCCAATTGCTTCTACATTTAATAAACTGCTGGTTATACAGGCAGTATGATCCGCATGGCATACACTCAAATCTGGAGACAGTTAATCCATTTGTTTTGTTATCACAAGTCCATGTTATTAGCCCAAAATGGATTCCAGGTGATGTACATTCTGTCCATGGTGGGCGGTATGTTTAAACATTTATAGTTCTATGTTCAACCAATAGATGTCGCCTGTGGTTCCTTGAATCGCGGTATCGTTATGATTCAAAAATAGTATAAGTATCTCAATTGTTTTTTGTATTAAATCGTCTCAGCCTTGGGATTGGTGTTTTATTGATCATGGTCATTCGTAGCCGGATACAGCAGTGATTGGAAACCCTAGTGTTAGTGTATAAAAAGTGTAAAATAAGTGATTGTGGTGTGTGTAAGTGTAAAGGTGACTAAAACTGTAAGTACTTTAAAACTTTGCCTAACAAATTTGAAGTCTAATAACTCTGGTAAAATAAAGAATCTGGTAAAACGAAGTATGTGTGATTTTAACATAATTATTGTTTACGACCGGTTAGGTAACTTTCCAGCCAATTTAAAGGCAATCCTCGGATTCCGTAATGTCTACACTTTTGAAGAAGAATGTTGTAGTCTACGCAATCAAGTGCAAGTGCTCATGTCAAAAAAAAACTACAGATACCTGCTTGCGCCTATCGATATGTTCTACAATTGCCTTAACTAAAGAGAAAGCTGCTAGGATAGTATTTTACCTCTTTGAAAACCGTACTGTTCCTCATTTATAACACTGAATTTGCCTAAAAAGAGCTCAACCTATTGTGCATAAGTTTTTCCAACACTTAAGCTAAAGTTGGTATTAAAGTTATGTCTGTAGTTTCTAATATCCTCTGTATTACCCTTTTTAAACATAGGTTTTACTATCGATAATTTTAAAGAACTGGGAAATATACCCTGTGTGAAAGATAAATTTTATGAGATGGGTAAGTATACTTGCTAGTTGTTGTGAGGAGAATTTTAACACTTCTGTTGTTATTCCGTCATAATCTGCCGCTTTAGTATTATTAAGATTATTTATAGCTTTTAAAACTTCGTCACATGAACAAGGAGTTAGAAATAAGGATGGGTTTACAGAATGAACGTTTTGAAGATTAGTGCTAGGTTTGTTATTGTTAACTAATAATAATGATGGTTGTGTTTAAACATACCGCGATTCAAGCAACCACGGACGACATCTATTGGTTGAACATAGAACTATAAATGTTTAAACATACCGCCCACCATGGACAGAATGTACATCACCTAAAACAAGTGATAGGTACTCAGACGTTGACCTTTGAAGAGATGAGCACTCTTCTGTACCAAATAGAAGCCTGTCTCAATTCCAGACCATTGTCACAATTAAGTGTGAACTCACAAGATCCTACACCTCTTACCCCAGGACATTTTCTTGTCGGCGAGCCATTGGTTTTGGTGCCGGACAGCAATTATGAAACCTCATCGGTTTCTTCACTAAAGCGCTGGCAGCTAACGCAACAGTTGCTGCAGCATTTTTGGCGTAGGTGGTCAAATGAATATCTCACGCAGTTCATGCAACGTTACAAATGGGCACATCAAAAACCAGAACCGAATGTTGGTGATATTGTTTTAGTTCGAGAGGATAATCTTCCTCCAGCAAAATGGTTATTAGGGATTATAACGGATAAACATGCAGGTTCGGACAATATTACGAGGGTTGTTAGTCTTAAATGTAAGGATGTTATCGTTAAGCGTCCTATAACCAAATTATGTGTATTGCCTGTGACGAAGTAAGATATTTGGGTAAATCTGATGTTATTTTTTTTTTTTTTTTTTTTTTTTCTTAATCTAATAGATTATATATGTTAATACTAACACTAAACTAAGTCATAAAACTAAAGAGCCTAGGAATTATAACCAGGTCAGGCCTTTTCTGACTCTCTTTTTGCAATAGATAAAACACCTAACCTACCTAACTTAATAAGCATAGTTCCTATTGTAGTAAGACTAAGCATCATAGTTAAGGAACTCACCAGTGAACCCCAGAAATTTGGGTCAGTTCCAATATTTGCTGCTATATCAGCGAAACTTTCTGATTGTATACTCCTCATGCTGCTAATTTCTCCTCGGAAGATGTATTCAAAATCAAAATCTAAGGTTTGGTTAAGCTTTGGTATTTCAACTCTACAATTCTTGTTTGATGAAAGTTGCTTGGCTATGTAAGGTTCATTGGAACATTGAAAGAATGGCACATCCCAGGTGCAGTTTGATATGTACTCCACTGCACCATCTGTAGTCATCTTATCTGAGGACATCACGGCAAAAGGCTTATCTAAACATCCATCACAGGCAGATGTCATTATGATGTTGATTCTGCATTTTGCATCAATAACAACTAGTTCCTTAAGCTGCACACTTCCAAACGATATTGTTACTGTCCCTGTGACATCTTCGTTCCTACTCACCCAGTTCTCACTTTCAGACACCACAGTTCTGAAGTCATCCTTAGACAGTAAATATGGAGAGTTGGATGTGAGCCTGTTTAATGCTGGCTCCTTAGTTGTGCATGACACTATGCAACCTGCTGTGGAACAGGGGAGGTGGACTTCACTAAATACAATACTCTGAGCAGTGTCAAGTGATATCTGTAAATCACCAATTATGTTCTCTTGAGGCATGTTTAGTGCACTAGCTACTACCCCATAATATTTCCCCTTGTATGATAACATGGTTGGACGAGAAGCTGGCCTTTCATATGTAAAGGTATTTATCACTAGTGGTATGTTCAAGGCAGTTGAAGGCATCATAGTCTCCATATTTACAAAAGGAGTGTTGCTGTTTAAGGTAACAACCTTCTTGATTCCTCTGTAAGTTGTTTCTATTTCCACAATCCACAGCTCAGAAGATTTAGCATAAACTAATCCACAGTTGCTGTAGTCAGGATTGACCTGCCATCTATACCATACACATCTCGATGTGTAATGGCAGTACACATCACAGCCCAATGAGTCTATTTGGCACCCATATCCATGCGGCTCTTTTGTAACCCTACTCGGTGTGTTTAGTTCGTAATTAACAGTGCATCTATTTCCTTCCCAACATGCGCCACTGCCTTTGCAATTATACCACCTTGTTGTCGTTACATTATAAGAGCAAGTCTTGTATAGCTTGGTGTACCTTGAAATATGGGTCCCTTTTTTGATTCTGAGTTTTAGCATGTCTCCGTTAATATCATTGAAACATATTACCTGACCTTGTGTTATAGTGGTCATGTATGTGTCTATTGGCTGGCATTTATCTTTCACACATACTGTCCCTTTGCTAGAAAGATACAAAACCTTATCACATGCATGTGTTAGTCTGCCTGACAGGCATACAATAAATAAACATGCAAGAAGGTACATATTAGCATCATGACCTGTGTAATAGACACATCTCGACTGACTCGAGTTTGTTCTTGGCGGCAATTCTGGCAATGATGGTTTTGTTCTTGGCTTCAGTAAATTCTTTGGTTCATAATTCATGTTTGTTTCGCCTTCATTCCTTTCCTTGTAAATGATGTCTCCATACAATGGCTCATCACCGTTGACATCCTTTCTTAGTGCCAGTCTTGTGTCTATAATTTTGTTCATTAGATCATTGTTTGGGACGCTAAATTCCCTGAACTTAACTTGATCATTCCTCCCAGTTATTTTGTTGTGCCTCTTTACTTGAAATGCTCTTCTTTTGTCTGATCTTGTCAGCAACCAAGCACCCACTTGTATAGATGTGGTGTAAAATGAGTTGTTGAAGCAGCATAAGAATGTTAATATAATGACAAGTGCCAGTATTGCTGCAATGACCACTCCGAGAATATATGCTGTCCAATTGCTTCTACATTTAATAAACTGCTGGTTATACAGGCAGTATGATCCGCATGGCATACACTCAAATCTGGAGACAGTTAATCCATTTGTTTTGTTATCACAAGTCCATGTTATTAGCCCAAAATGGATTCCAGGTGATGTACATTCTGTCCATGGTGGGCGGTATGTTTAAACATTTATAGTTCTATGTTCAACCAATAGATGTCGCCTGTGGTTCCTTGAATCGCGGTATCGTTATGATTCAAAAATAGTATAAGTATCTCAATTGTTTTTTGTATTAAATCGTCTCAGCCTTGGGATTGGTGTTTTATTGATCATGGTCATTCGTAGCCGGATACAGCAGTGATTGGAAACCCTAGTGTTAGTGTATAAAAAGTGTAAAATAAGTGATTGTGGTGTGTGTAAGTGTAAAGGTGACTAAAACTGTAAGTACTTTAAAACTTTGCCTAACAAATTTGAAGTCTAATAACTCTGGTAAAATAAAGAATCTGGTAAAACGAAGTATGTGTGATTTTAACATAATTATTGTTTACGACCGGTTAGGTAACTTTCCAGCCAATTTAAAGGCAATCCTCGGATTCCGTAATGTCTACACTTTTGAAGAAGAATGTTGTAGTCTACGCAATCAAGTGCAAGTGCTCATGTCAAAAAAAAACTACAGATACCTGCTTGCGCCTATCGATATGTTCTACAATTGCCTTAACTAAAGAGAAAGCTGCTAGGATAGTATTTTACCTCTTTGAAAACCGTACTGTTCCTCATTTATAACACTGAATTTGCCTAAAAAGAGCTCAACCTATTGTGCATAAGTTTTTCCAACACTTAAGCTAAAGTTGGTATTAAAGTTATGTCTGTAGTTTCTAATATCCTCTGTATTACCCTTTTTAAACATAGGTTTAACTATCGATAATTTTAAAGAACTGGGAAATATACCCTGTGTGAAAGATAAATTTTATGAGATGGGTAAGTATACTTGCTAGTTGTTGTGAGGAGAATTTTAACACTTCTGTTGTTATTCCGTCATTATCTGCCGCTTTAGTATTATTAAGATTATTTATAGCTTTTAAAACTTCGTCACATGAACAAGGAGTTAGAAATAAGGATGGGTTTACAGAATGAACGTTTTGAAGATTAGTGCTAGGTTTGTTATTGTTAACTAATAATAATGATGGTTGTGTTTAAACATACCGCGATTCAAGCAACCACGGACGACATCTATTGGTTGAACATAGAACTATAAATGTTTAAACATACCGCCCACCATGGACAGAATGTACATCACCTAAAACAAGTGATAGGTACTCAGACGTTGACCTTTGAAGAGATGAGCACTCTTCTGTACCAAATAGAAGCCTGTCTCAATTCCAGACCATTGTCACAATTAAGTGTGAACTCACAAGATCCTACACCTCTTACCCCAGGACATTTTCTTGTCGGCGAGCCATTGGTTTTGGTGCCGGACAGCAATTATGAAACCTCATCGGTTTCTTCACTAAAGCGCTGGCAGCTAACGCAACAGTTGCTGCAGCATTTTTGGCGTAGGTGGTCAAATGAATATCTCACGCAGTTCATGCAACGTTACAAATGGGCACATCAAAAACCAGAACCGAATGTTGGTGATATTGTTTTAGTTCGAGAGGATAATCTTCCTCCAGCAAAATGGTTATTAGGGATTATAACGGATAAACATGCAGGTTCGGACAATATTACGAGGGTTGTTAGTCTTAAATGTAAGGATGTTATCGTTAAGCGTCCTATAACCAAATTATGTGTATTGCCTGTGACGAAGTAAGATATTTGGGTAAATCTGATGTTATCGTTTTTTTTTTTTTTTTTTTTTTTCTTAATCTAATAGATTATATATGTTAATACTAACACTAAACTAAGTCATAAAACTAAAGAGCCTAGGAATTATAACCAGGTCAGGCCTTTTCTGACTCTCTTTTGCAATAGATAAAACACCTAACCTACCTAACTTAATAAGCATAGTTCCTATTGTAGTAAGACTAAGCATCATAGTTAAGGAACTCACCAGTGAACCCCAGAAATTTGGGTCAGTTCCAATATTTGCTGCTATATCAGCGAAACTTTCTGATTGTATACTCCTCATGCTGCTAATTTCTCCTCGGAAGATGTATTCAAAATCAAAATCTAAGGTTTGGTTAAGCTTTGGTATTTCAACTCTACAATTCTTGTTTGATGAAAGTTGCTTGGCTATGTAAGGTTCATTGGAACATTGAAAGAATGGCACATCCCAGGTGCAGTTTGATATGTACTCCACTGCACCATCTGTAGTCATCTTATCTGAGGACATCACGGCAAAAGGCTTATCTAAACATCCATCACAGGCAGATGTCATTATGATGTTGATTCTGCATTTTGCATCAATAACAACTAGTTCCTTAAGCTGCACACTTCCAAACGATATTGTTACTGTCCCTGTGACATCTTCGTTCCTACTCACCCAGTTCTCACTTTCAGACACCACAGTTCTGAAGTCATCCTTAGACAGTAAATATGGAGAGTTGGATGTGAGCCTGTTTAATGCTGGCTCCTTAGTTGTGCATGACACTATGCAACCTGCTGTGGAACAGGGGAGGTGGACTTCACTAAATACAATACTCTGAGCAGTGTCAAGTGATATCTGTAAATCACCAATTATGTTCTCTTGAGGCATGTTTAGTGCACTAGCTACTACCCCATAATATTTCCCCTTGTATGATAACATGGTTGGACGAGAAGCTGGCCTTTCATATGTAAAGGTATTTATCACTAGTGGTATGTTCAAGGCAGTTGAAGGCATCATAGTCTCCATATTTACAAAAGGAGTGTTGCTGTTTAAGGTAACAACCTTCTTGATTCCTCTGTAAGTTGTTTCTATTTCCACAATCCACAGCTCAGAAGATTTAGCATAAACTAATCCACAGTTGCTGTAGTCAGGATTGACCTGCCATCTATACCATACACATCTCGATGTGTAATGGCAGTACACATCACAGCCCAATGAGTCTATTTGGCACCCATATCCATGCGGCTCTTTTGTAACCCTACTCAGTGTGTTTAGTTCGTAATTAACAGTGCATCTATTTCCTTCCCAACATGCGCCACTGCCTTTGCAATTATACCACCTTGTTGTCGTTACATTATAAGAGCAAGTCTTGTATAGCTTGGTGTACCTTGAAATATGGGTCCCTTTTTTGATTCTGAGTTTTAGCATGTCTCCGTTAATATCATTGAAACATATTACCTGACCTTGTGTTATAGTGGTCATGTATGTGTCTATTGGCTGGCATTTATCTTTCACACATACTGTCCCTTTGCTAGAAAGATACAAAACCTTATCACATGCATGTGTTAGTGTGCCTGACAGGCATACAATAAATAAACATGCAAGAAGGTACATATTAGCATCATGACCTGTGTAATAGACACATCTCGACTGACTCGAGTTTGTTCTTGGCGGCAATTCTGGCAATGATGGTTTTGTTCTTGGCTTCAGTAAATTCTTTGGTTCATAATTCATGTTTGTTTCGCCTTCATTCCTTTCCTTGTAAATGATGTCTCCATACAATGGCTCATCACCGTTGACATCCTTTCTTAGTGCCAGTCTTGTGTCTATAATTTTGTTCATTAGATCATTGTTTGGGACGCTAAATTCCCTGAACTTAACTTGATCATTCCTCCCAGTTATTTTGTTGTGCCTCTTTACTTGAAATGCTCTTCTTTTGTCTGATCTTGTCAGCAACCAAGCACCCACTTGTATAGATGTGGTGTAAAATGAGTTGTTGAAGCAGCATAAGAATGTTAATATAATGACAAGTGCCAGTATTGCTGCAATGACCACTCCGAGAATATATGCTGTCCAATTGCTTCTACATTTAATAAACTGCTGGTTATACAGGCAGTATGATCCGCATGGCATACACTCAAATCTGGAGACAGTTAATCCATTTGTTTTGTTATCACAAGTCCATGTTATTAGCCCAAAATGGATTCCAGGTGATGTACATTCTGTCCATGGTGGGCGGTATGTTTAAACATTTATAGTTCTATGTTCAACCAATAGATGTCGCCTGTGGTTCCTTGAATCGCGGTATCGTTATGATTCAAAAATAGTATAAGTATCTCAATTGTTTTTTGTATTAAATCGTCTCAGCCTTGGGATTGGTGTTTTATTGATCATGGTCATTCGTAGCCGGATACAGCAGTGATTGGAAACCCTAGTGTTAGTGTATAAAAAGTGTAAAATAAGTGATTGTGGTGTGTGTAAGTGTAAAGGTGACTAAAACTGTAAGTACTTTAAAACTTTGCCTAACAAATTTGAAGTCTAATAACTCTGGTAAAATAACTTAGAAAAATTAAGGCAAAAGTGGTGAACCACGGGGAATCCATGCCCGATTTTGCCTAAGTCGAAATTATTAGGTACACCAGACACTTAAAAAAATTTGCGATTTGGAACTTGGAAATTTTACAAGTGTAACTTAGAAAAATCACAATGGAATCACTTGTAAGAGTACAGAAAGATATTAACAAAACATTAAAAAGGGCTTATACAAATTTTAAGAAAACACCAAAAGATAGAATTACAGGAAGTTATTTGGAAACCAGATTGGAACAATTAAGCCCCGTATTCATGGTAAACATTTGTTTAGCAACAGTTGCTAAACATTGTTGGTGAGCGGCGAGAATGTTGCTAGCAACTATGTTTAAATCAATACAGGTTGTCCACACGCCAGTCTGCGTTAAAATGTTGCCCGAGGAGGTAGTGTTGTTGTGTTCTCTGTATCAGATGTATAGAATCTCTAATAAAAAAAAGAGAAAAAGATGGTGGATTCGAAATTATCTTTTGCAAAGAGAAAATTTGATGAGTGACCTCAGAATGACAGATGGATCATTTTGTAACTTTACGAGAATGTCGAAAAGTGATTTCGAACATCTTCTAGAAATGATTGGTCCATCAATAGCCAAAAGGGAAACAAATATTCGTCAGCCAGTTTCACCTCAAACGAGGCTGGCTATTACATTACGGTATCTTGCAACTGGAGATTCATACAGTTCTCTTTCATACACATTCAGAGTATCAAAACAATTGATTAGCAAAATTATACCAGATGTATGTCAAGAACTAATTAACTCACTAGCAGGATATGTCAAGGTACAAGAACACTATTTGTGTAATCAAGTATTTTATTAATTAAAAAACAGTGTATGCTATTGCGTTGATTCATCACTGAGATAGTTAACTAAGTTTAGTATAGCCGAATCTTCTGTTTCGTCTCGTAATGCATCTAGTCTATTTGTTTCGTGTCTCTCAATTTCCCTTATTTCAGTTTCCTGAACATTATTTGGTGTTGATGATGGATGAGAAGATGCCGTTTGATATCCATATGTATTATATCGTCCCATTTTTAATTCATACAGTATATTATTAATATGGTACTTTGCCTGTGTCACGGCTTGGTCATCTTTAACACTTCTTAATTCAGCAGCAATATATTCACCATATATATCAAATGGATCCTTCTTCTCCCTTTCATCCATCTTTTTTTTAGCACTTTTCAAAACCTCTAATATTTCATTTGATTCATCTGTCTTATTTCTTTTCCTCGAAGATGTAGATGTTGTAGCATTCGGCCTTGGTGATTGAGATGGCTCTGACTCCATACCACTTTCAAGTGCATTGTTTTCATCTACCTGTAAATTATTATCTTATTATATATTTATTTATTTTTTAGGTTCCAAGTTCGGAACAAGAATGGAAACAAATAAGTCGTGAATTCGAAATACGATGGAATTTTCCACATTGCATTGGGGCCATTGATGGGAAACACGTTATGATTGTGGCGCCAAATAATTCTGGAAGTGAATACTACAATTATAAAAATCAGTTCAGCATGGTACTTATGGCAATTGCAGATGGCAATTACAACTTTATTTACGCAAATTATGGAGCTAAGGGTCGGTCGTCCGACAGTGGAATATTTCAAGAAACACCGTTTTATAATGCATTGTTAGAAAACTCACTTAAACTGCCACGGCCTGAACCAATAACACAAGGCGGAACAGAAATGCCGTATGTAATTGTAGGTGACAGTGCTTTCGCGCTAACGGAGAACATCATGAAACCATATCCTGGCATTCATGAACGTGGGAACAAAAAGCGTATATTCAATTACAGACTATCAAGAGCTAGGAGGATTATAGAAAATGTTTTTGGCATTTTATGTGTGGTGTTCCGTGTATTCACTAAACCTATTCCGTTAAAACCAGCCAATTGTGAACTCGTGGTAATTGCTTGTGTATATTTACATAACTTCTTAAGACGTAACTCAGTTTCCAGATCCATATATACACCTCCACAAACTTTTGATTTTGAAGACTCTGAAGGTAACTAACAAGGAAGGTATTAGAAGGTTCTTGGCGAAGGGAACTAAGTTCGTTTCCTATGATTGATTTGCAAAGACGGGGCAGGCCTGCATCACAATCAGCTCTTTGTATTAGAGAACAGTTTGCCGATTACTTTATAACTCCAGAGGGAAGAGTTCCATGGCAAAATAATGTAGCGTAATTGTAATAATTTTACAGACAATAGTATAAAACAATTATATACAAAAACAACTTACTGTTTTATTCATAGTATCCGTTTCACCAGAAGTAGTTGCACCACATAACAAAAATTCCAATGGCTCGTAATAAATCCATTTACATTTTTCTATTGCGCCGCTGCCTGTAGTTTTTTTTGCCGACATCTTTTTTTTCTCTCTAGTAAATTGAGTACGCAGCACATGTATTTTAGTTTCTACGTCTTTTTTGGGTATATTTAGGACTTGAGAAATTTCTTCGAATGCATCGTTCTTTTTGTTTCTATCTTTGTATTGTTTTATAGAACAATCCCATAATAATGGTTTTGATTGAAATAATTCTATTAATTGCATTATTTTATCATTGCTCCACACTACTGCCATGTTTATAAACTGTTGCAAACTCGTCCACACACGTCAACAATTGTCGCTAAACTGATGTTTACGCTTGTCGGGCGAGAGCTTGTCAACATGATGCTGTCAACTCTGCAACACGCAGTGTTGCCAGCAACATGTTGACAGCAACTCCGCAACACGTTGATTCAACTTTGTTGCTCAACAAATGTTTCCCATGAATACGGGGCATTAGAAAAACAATGGTCAACATTTGAAGAGACACACAATAAATTAATATGTAACTATGGTGAGGAAGATTATGATGAATCGGAGTACAGCTTGAAAGATGTATATGGAGAGACGGAAGATTTATATAGTGAATACAAAATTGATATAAAGGAAAAACTTACTAAATTTAAAAATAGCCCTATAGTTACGAGTGATGTAGTAAGCAACATTAACAGTGAAGTAAAATTTACCTAGAATAACAATACCTACTTTTTCTGGCCACTATTCACAATGGATCACGTTTCGTGACCTGTTTAAGTCATTGATACACAGCAACAAATCGTTGCAAGCAGTGCAAAAGTTGCATTACCTAAAAAGTTACCTGACCGGTGAAGCCGAGCAGTTACTACGACATTTGCCGGTTACAAGTGAAAATTATGAACTATGTTGGAGTATGTTAGAACAACGTTTTAATAATAAGAAATTTATTACAAATAGTATTTTAAAAAGATTTTTTTCTCAAAAGAATATTGTTTCCGAATCTTCAAATGCTGTTAAAGAATTACTAGACACCACAAATGAATGTTTAAATGCATTGAAAAATATAGGAATAGTAACTGACAATTGGGATGTTATTGTTTTATATATTTTAAGTTCAAAATTAGATACTAAGTCTAGAGAGTTATGGGAAACTAAAATTTGTAATTTAACAGATGAATTGCCAACATTAAATCAGTTTTTTGAATTTTTAGAGCAAAGGTTTAGGTCACTTGAATTTTTAATAAACAAACCAGTCAAAAGCACTCAATCTCATCATGTAACTTTTAAGGAAAAATCAAATTGTGTCTTTTGTTCAGATAGTACGCATAAAATAGGAAATTGTAAGAAATTTGCTAAGGGTAACCTTAAAACACGTCGTGAGTTTGTTCAAAGTTCCGCCTTATGCTTCAACTGTTTAGGTGCTAATCATTCGGTTGAGGCGTGTCGTTTGCCCACCAGGTGTAAGATTTGCAAACGAAAACACCATTCACTTTTGCATTACAACGCTAGTGTATCAACAGATAATGTATCAGCTAACAACCAATCACCAGAAGATATCAATGTTGTTGCAACGGCAACAACATCGAGACCAGAAGAGACCAACATTGAAAATATTACCACTTGTTTTACTAATACCAGAAAACAAGTTCTATTGGCAACAGCCCTCGTAAGGGCCAACAATAATTCTGGATCAAGTATGACACTGCGAGCCTTATTAGATCAGGGCTCACAGGCTTCATTTATTACGGAGTCTGCAGTCGACGGTAGTACCGCTAATAAAGGGCGAACTTCGGTGATACCCACGCAACCCCATGACGTCACATTGTGTTCCTTATCTAATTGTAATGCTTCCCGCACACCTACTACGGTGTTACTCGCTACCGCACGCGTTGTTGTTTTCGATACGCAAGGTAGGGAACACAACGTGCGCGCTTTATTGGACAGTGCCTCGCAAAGTAATTTCGCCAGTCGCAGCTTATGCCAGCGGTTGGGTTTAGAGACAAACCAGAAACCCTCATGTTCAGTGGTTAAAGGGATTGGAGGCACTACTAAGCCAATTCTAAGTTCGGTTTCGGTGAAATTCTTCTCCCGTTTTGATCTCAGTGTGTGTTTTAGCATGGACTCCCTCGTAGTCGACAAGGTCACGGAGCGCTTGCCCACTGTGTCTGTGGATATTTCGTCGTTGATCAATTTTAATAATTTACCTTTAGCTGACGATACCTACGCTGCCCCTGGAGATATTGATTTGTTGATTGGAGCATCAATCTTTCCTCACCTTCTCTTATCTCGTAAAGTTCAAGGTCAGTCTGATTGTCTCTCACCGGTCGCTTTAGAGACCGTGTTAGGTTATGTTATTGTCGGCTCTGCTCCTGCTCTAGTTGATAATCACGCGTCTGTCTCATATTGTTGTGCTACAGACCCGCTTGACGCTGCTGTACGTAAATTCTGGCAGATAGAAGAAGTAAGCGCCCCGCAACTATTGAGTCCAGATGATAAGGCGTGTGAAGATATCTATAGCAGCACGACTACCCGTGATACGGATGGTCGATACATGGTCGCGCTTCCATTTAAAGGGGATGTATTTTCATTAGGTGATTCGTTTAAGAAATCTAAAAATTGCTTTCTTTGTTTAGAACGTAAAATGCAGGCATCACCTAAATTAAAGGAGGCGTATGATAACGTGATTAGTGAATATTTAAATAAGGGTTATATTTCTCCCGCTCCTCTAGACACTGAAGAAACTCGGAATTTACCCTCATATACAATACCTCACCATGGTATAATAAGAGAAGATAAACTTACTTCTAAATTACGCATCGTCCTGGACGGTAGTTCAAAGTCCAGTTCCCAAATCTCGCTTAATGACATTTTATATAATGGGCAAAATCTGCAAGGAAACTTATTTCATATTATTGTTAATTTTCGCTTATTTCGTATCGCTCTCTCCGCTGACATTCGTCAAATGTTTCTTTGCATTGGAGTTCGGCCATGTGACCGAAGGTTCCAACGCATTCTGTATCGCTTTTCGCCGCAAGAACCCTTGAAGGTTTATGAATTTAACCGCGTTTGTTTCGGACTGAAGTCTAGCCCGTTTCACGCTCTTCGTACCATAAAGCAACTAGTTTTGGATGAAGGTTCTTCTTATCCGCGAGCACAGCAAACAGTCAAGACTGGTTTGTATATGGACGATTTTGTCTACAGCATTGACAACGAAGATGAGGCTATTTCCACCGCTGCGGAAGTAATCGCTTTGATGAAAGCCGGACAATTTGATCTTGTTAAATGGACAAGCAATTCACAAAGAGTCTTGGATTCTATTACGCCGTCGCATCGTCTCTCTGCTGTAAAGGAGTTTGATGACTCTGATTCGCATAAGGTACTAGGACTATGCTGGTCACCCGCAACAGATAATTTTAGTCTTAAAATCTGTACAACCGCTGAATCATGTACAAAGCGTACTATTCTGTCGTGTGTCGCTAGGATATGGGACGTCATGGGATTTGTTGCACCCGTGGTCTTATACGCAAAACTTCTCATAAAACAACTTTGGTTGTGTGAATGTGATTGGGATGATATACCACCCGACCACATCATTCAACAGTGGTCCCGTTTTAAGGAGGAACTTCCTCTTCTTGGAAAAATTAAAATTCCGCGACATGTTGGCATCGCGTCCGGTGATGTTTTAACCGTCGTGGGCTTCGCGGACGCAAGTGAAAGGGCCTACGGAGGAGTTGTGTACTTTCATGTAAGAGACAGTCAAGGTCTTCGCAAAAACTCATTTAGTCTGATAAGCGCTAAATCTAAAGTGTCACCTCGTAAGGTGGTTTCGCTAGCACGTCTCGAGCTTTGTGCAATATTAGTCCTAAGCAACTTAATTGCTAATGTAATTAATACTTGTAACAATAGCATTAATATAGATCGTGTTTTCGCATTCTCAGACTCGACTGTAGCTCTTTGTTGGGTGCATTCTTCGCCCCATCGTTGGGATACTTTCGTTGCTAATAGAGTCTCTAAGATTCAGAATGAATTTCCACCGCGAACATTTTATCACATCGCTGGCCATGAAAACCCCGCTGATTGTTTATCTCGTGGCCTTAGTCCCGCACAAATCATTGATCATCCGCTTTGGTTCTGCGGTCCTCAATGGATTCTATCAGATCCAAGTTTTTGGCCTGTTACGGATTTTAATCCATCTACTGTGTCTCAGCCTCCAGAAGTAAAGAAGCATGTAACTCTTTTCACTGCTGAAGACTGTGAAAAGGTTGAGAAAAGTTTTTTAATTACGCTTGCAAATCGTTTTTCATCTTGGTCAAAGCTTTTACGCATTGTCGTTTATATCTGTCGTTTTGTTAAATTATTGCCTCGGCGTAGTACTATAATCGCAGCGGATTTAGATTACGCTGAGAATTTAATACTGAGTGACCTTCAACGGTCCCACTTCTTCAACGAAATCGCTAGCTTACGTACAGGCAAGCGATGTACCCCTGCTTTTCAGCGTCTCAAGCCATTCCTTCAGAACAAACTTCTTAGAGTCGGAGGACGGTTGAGTAACGCTGATATAAAATTTGATAGTAAGCATCCACTCATACTTCCTCGGAAAGGTCATATTTTGAATCTTATAGTGGATTACTATCACAAATTGAATTGCCATGCAGGTCCGGAGCTATTGATGTCCATACTGCGTCAAAAATATTGGATTTTGTCCGCTCGAAATTTAATTCGAAGCCGGGTTCACAAATGTTTACCCTGTTTTCGACTCCGCGCTAAACCAAATTTTCCTGAAATGGTCGATCATCGCTCCTGCCGAGTTACACCAGTCGCTAAACCCTTCGTACATACTGGCACTGATTACGCGGGTCCCTTTAAAGTGAGTAGTTCGCGTGGACGCGGAATTCGCGCGTTCAAGGCATACGTATGTCTTTTTGTGTGCTTAACCACCCGCGCTGTTCACATAGAAGTTGCAGGTGATTTAGCTTCCTTGGAGCTTTTAAGCGTTTTCTATCACGCCGTGGTCCCGTGGCTCGCGTGTACTCAGATAACGGCACTAATTACGTAGGCGCAAAGCGCACGCTTTCGGAGTTACACGACTTCTTAGTTTCAAAACACTTTAACTCTGAGTTTGGTCACGTATTAGCTGAAACTCGCATTGATTGGTCATTAAATACTCCTGCTGCTAGTCATTTTGGTGGCAATTGGGAGACCAATATTAAAAGCCTTAAAGCTCATTTATACCGGGTGATAGGTGATCAAATTCTAACTTTCGAGGAGTTCAGCACTGTAGTTGCACAGATCGAGGCAGTGATGAACTCGCGGCCACTGTGTCGCACGCTATCCAATGATCCATCGGAACCTCTCGCGTTAACACCCGCTCATTTTTTAAACTTAACACCGCTAAAGTATCTACCAGCTAGAGAAATCGAAGAAGATAGATTACATTTGCTTTCGCGTCATGAGTTAGTTGACAAGCTAGTGCAGTCCTTCTGGAAGCGCTGGAAGTCTGATTACCTTCATACATTGCAAATGCGGAACAAGTGGAACACGCCAGCTAAGCCAATTTCTAACGGCGATGTTGTAATAGTTATTGTTGACAATGCACCGCCGCTACACTGGCCTTTAGGAATAGTGGAGGAAGTTTCCCTGGTTCAAACGGTGTTACACGTGTGGTCCACGTTCTTACGGCGTCAGGTACCTATCTACGTCCTGTAGTACGTCTCTGTCCCCTACCTAGCGAATAGTTACATTTGTATAGGTCATTAGTTAGGTTAGTTAGTTTACATTTGTATAAGTCGTTAGTTAAGTTAGTTACTTTAATAAACTTTTCTTTAGATCGCTTTTCATATCGCTATTCATTTACTTTCTAGTTTTTCTTGAAGGCAACCCTTCAAACCCGGGGGAATGGTTGCGCCGGATTCTTATTTTATAATAATTTTTGATTTTAAATAATGGTTGCTCAATACATATACCCATCCTAATAGTTCCTAGACGCATATCTCGTCACCCACCTATTTTATGTCCCAATCCTATGACGGTACTAGTTCCGGAACGGGCTATAGGTGGCGCGCACGACGATGAATCTCTAATAAGAATTAATTAGTGACAATTTTGATGACCCGTGATATGGTTGATTATTCACCGCACGCTCGCAACGCTTCCTTTTTCTTTTTAAACATTTAATTTTTTATTATAAACTTTAACTATACTTAAATTCAATTAACTTTAACTTGATTAAGTATAATTTGTGAAAGTGATTGTTCATTGGTGTACAACAAAGGAAAGAAGCCACTAGAAGAAGCCACGAGGTTGAAGGTACTGTGCCGACATCCTTTCTTTCTTTTTCCCATTGTCCATTATTGAGCAATCATATTAGGTATCAATAAGAAAAAATACAGTCCACTATATAACCACTTCAAAAATATAGCTTATAGGTATAAAGTTTTATATATTAATAACCCGCGCCGCCAGATTTAAGAAATAATAAACCAATTTATAAGAAAAGTAAACCGCATTTTTTGTTATTGTATAATATAATAGGTATGTTGTCACTTCTAGCTACTGTGAAAGGCTTGTACGAACTTTTTAAACTCTATTACAGTCCACTACGATTACTTGTTTACAGTTTACTCACGGTGGGCGGAGGTGATGTACATTCTGTCCATGGTGGGCGGTATGTTTAAACATTTATAGTTCTATGTTCAACCAATAGATGTCGTCCGTGGTTGCTTGAATCGCGGTATGTTTGTAAGTTAAGATTTTTGGCTGGTATGGATTCTGTGAAGAAGGTTGTTTTTATGGTGGTTAGGTTAAGATTTTTTTTAAAGCACCTAAAAGGCATACCTTCCCCGGCTACTTTATCGCCGGAGGCGATGACTAAGCTAAACTTTCATCTTTTCATACATCCTTCCGCAAAATAATTTCAACACCCTTTTATTTCTATTAGGGTTTTTACAGAGCAATATCGCAGTAGTTACAAGTTATTATTCTACTTATTTCTATTTCCTTACTCTATCTATTTGTCTACACATTCCTATCACGAGGACCTGGCCCGCAAGGCGGGCGGCTTTCACTTATCCGTGAGTATTCTCCTGATACCCATTAGCAATTGGCCGCCTTGCAGTCCCCGCCCTGGCTTTACTTTCATTGAACTTTGATCTTCTTTTAGTTATTTTAGGCAAAATTCCTTCAGATGCGCCCTGTTACAAGCTAACACGTCGGACAGTCCTTGAAGATAGAGCGGCATGCCAGTCATTTGTTCCACGTTACACTTGTAGCAGGCAAAAAAGAGTACTCCGTAAGTAGGTGTGGGATGTATTGTTCCACCCCACTCTCACATTCGCAATCTCCTTTTTACTTCAGCCTGAAACAGCACAGGTACCCAGCAATGGGCCCAGGACCTGCGCCATCTCAGGACTGAATCTCCTATCTCTAACCTGCTTGTGAGCGTCTGTAATATTTTTTAGGAACCGTTTTGTCGTTCCTCTTGTAGCTCCTTCTACCTAATACCGCCGGTCCCATTGTTCAGTCGTTTTTCTTCTAATTTACTTCCTTATAATAATAATAATTTTATTCATCAGACAAATACAGTCCATTTATTGATTAGTAAGTTAGTAACAATAGTTTCTTAAGATCTATGTTAGTAGAATTAGTAAAAATAAGAAAAAAGTACTTAAACAAAAACTATTAGGTACAAAGCCCTGCGGAGATGTCGGAGTAGTGTCGTAAATAGGGGCACTCCATTCTCTCGACTATCATCCGTAAGATGTTGTTGGAGCTGCCCCACATCCGGCGCACCAAGACACGCACCGCTTTCGCATATTGGCAAAAAAGCAATCTACCCGCGCCTAGCGCGATGCGTTATTATACTGCACCCGAAGCGAGTTGTATGTTTGTCGAGTGAAACTGGCCCATAGGCTGCACGTGTAGAAGCTAGTGCAATATGCTCTGAATAATGTGACTTTTACGTCATGACAAGAACGTACAAACCTAAGAGCCAGCATATTTGCTCTCACCGTTGCTAAAAACTTACACTGAATAACCAGCAGCCGGTGATCTGACCAAAAAACATCATACATGACTTACACATTTTGAATAGTCTTCGCCGCTGCTTTAGTTACTAAACAATGATCAAGCCACCGCCGTGATCCGTTAGCATCACTTACAAACGTGAACGTGTCAGAAGTGACACCTAAGCATTCAATATCAAAGCATCACCATTCTTGCTCTCTTACAAAATTCTCCATTTCATGATAAAAACGTTCATATGGATGAACATTAAAGTCCCCTAAAATGTATGTATTTTTATAGCACAACTGTCTATATAGCACTTACCGAGCTAAGAACATCCGTAAACTTGGCTACATTTACCGCTTCGTCCGTGGGCATATACACACTTAGCTCTTAAAACTGGCTTATCACTTTAATCCCACACACACGCGGGTTATGATACTCAATCACTGAGACATTTTGAAAAATGCTCTTTATCTAGAGCAGGGCAAGACCTCCGTATGGCCAACCTCTTAGTAAGCCAGCCTCCGCATTCATTGACTATACCCCCGTGCCACTAAATTCTTGACTTATGGTACTAAGAAGTGGCGTCTCCTCAGAGAATAACCATGTTTCTTGCAATGCTATAATATCGACAACCTTACACATATTACGTAAGTCATCGATGGAGCGTTTTACGTTCTTACAATTAAAAGAAGCAAATTTATACGTTGGTTCCAGATTCATAATATTAACGTATGGAAATTGAGCCGCCTTCCTTCATTGAAATTTCAAACTTACGCTTTATTTTGAAGTGAATAAAGCGTCGGAAAATGATGCCTTCTGGCCACATCCCATGATCCAAATAAAGCGAAAGTTTTTTCTGTGAGACAAAGAATTTAAAAGCATTATAGTCGCAACTGCGCGTGTGTCCGGTTTTTTTCTTAATATAATTTATGATGTCCGACTCATTTGTACTTTTGTGGACATTCGTTATGAATAGAGGTGTTTTTCTTTCTGCAGCTCTAAACAATTCCTCCGAATTCATCGCCAGCGTACCCGTCTTTCCCTCCATTCGATTTCTATTAAGTTTTCCCCTTCTTTGTACAACTTTCCATTCTGAGTTAATGGAATGTGCGATAGCGGGTCTCTCTACGTGGAGTACTTTGACTTTCGAGGTCTCCGCAGTGGCTCTCGCGATTTCGTTTGCCCTCTCATTCCCCTCTGTGCCGACATGCACTTTCATCCAGTGGAGTTTTATATTTGGACCCTATTAACAGCTATCCACCAGGTGTCTGCAGGTTTGTCAGAGTGACCGCCCGCGATCGCCTCGAGCAAAGACCGCGAGTCGCTGCAGATGTTCATGTCCGTACCCGCTATCACCGCCTCTCTCACTGCATCAACGAGAGCTGCTAGCTCTGCTGGGTATACGGCGCAGTGAGGGGCCAACTTTGTCTTCCATTTCTTCTCTCTGCCATTCTCCCATTTGGACCATACGGCTCCTACTCCTCGATCTATCTTGCTCCCGTCCGTGTAAATTGATGTCTTGTCGTCATATTGTATAAGGCCACGGTCGGTGGTGATGGCGAAGTTTATTTCCGGTTTTTCCGCGTGGTGGGGTTATTCTAGCGCAGATACGGCTTGCTCAATCCTTCGTGTACGAACGGGGACGACCCCCTTCTGGCCTCCAGCATCGCAGCGGCTTCTTCGCTTCGTCGTACTCTTTGGCGCTACAACGAAAGAGTGCAAGGTGTCTGTTTTTCCCGGGCCTTCCATACTATTTTTATGATGATGATGTAGATGGTGATGATGATAATACTCGGTTGGTGTCAAAAATGTGCTATCTCCTACTGTTTCCGAGTTATTCCAGGTTTTGTATATCAAACAATCCCGTCTACTTTTCTCCGGAACTGCTAATTTAATTTTCAAAACGGCTCCATGTACGTGGGTAACACAAAAATTTTTTAGAACGGGCCAGTTAGAAACATTGCTAATGAAAACTTTTTTTTGAATTTCAATTTTAGAACTCTTTGGTAACCTAATTTAGTATATTGCATTAATTTGTTTATGTGAATTGGCGGCAAATCTAAAACTCTTTTTACATGTGAAAATAAAAACGAGAAAATTTTCGGTCAATGATTTATGATGACTTTCGTTGTAGGCTTACTCAACAACAAAGCTATGATAGGCTGCGATTAGCATTTTTTAATGAAGCCTCATCTCGTGCCACTATTTACAATTGGTTTAACGAGTTTAAGCGTGGACGTAGCAATCTCAAAGATGATCCGCGATGGATTTAAATGTTAGATAAGTTCAACGACGGTGACTCAAATGCTGTATTTGACATCGTCACAGGTGATGAAAGCTATATATAATATATATATATATATAGCTTAGCAATATATATATATTGCTACGAATATATATAATACTATCGATATGAACGTCAAAAAAAAAGAAATGTAGATGAAATGTTTCTAACTTTACATTTAGTGCCAGTTCTCAAATCAAGGGAGAGAAGAACTGGCAATAAACTCTCCGCCACTCTTTTTAATCGCCATGTTTTTTTACACGTTTGATAGGAGCTGCAACCATTACACCATGTTCCACGTGACATCTTACGTAATTAATAATGATAACATAAATAAATTAAAAACTAAGACTTGCCCTCTATCAGCAGGAGACATGGTGAAATAGGAGCACGCACTTACATTCTCGTGGGAACAACACGCAAACACATAGTCGAAATAACTAACATCACCGCATACACGAATTCAAGTACGACCAGTCACCACAAGTTGCACGGCCGTTCACGAGTATGACGCATGGCCAGCCATCGGCCCACTCGCCATATTTTAGGGAGAGAGACAACCCGACGCATGGACGCCGCCACAAGCAATGACATTTAAGCGAGCATGACGATCCTTGAAATGTGAACTAAGCTACCTAAGAAAATAATAATAATACTACTTATACTGAAATAAATTGATACCCATGATCCATGTGGTATCAATTTATTTCAGTATAAAGGTTTGTTCCCACTTTACATTAAAACAGTCGTGGATGTTGACGTTCGCCCCAGATGCAGATTCTGGAAATGCAGCCAAGAGATATAGTCGCGTAACCTATTTATACTGGAGCAATTCATATCCAAGCACTAGGATCATTTAAATATTCATTTATATTATAATAGGCCTTAGCAAGCTGTTTTACTTTAATGTACGATTTAAATTTATTGACAACACATGTATCTCACTAGGGATTTTGTTGAAAAAATGTATACAATTGGCTTGTAAAGAATTACTCGTTTTATGCAGCCTTCTGGTTGGTGCGCTAATTTTGTCTTTATTACGAGTATTATAATGATGGAAGCTACTATTCTTTTAAAATATATTTTTTTTATATAAAATAATTTCCAGCAATCAGGAAAAGTGCCACTGGACATACACTTATTGAATATGATCTGTAAAGGGACACATAATGACCGATGTGTATGCTTGAGAAAAACTGGTCTGGACCAGGATCTTTATTTGGATCAAGCAAATATAATTCTTTGCTGATTTTATCTTCAACGAAATATAAATTATGCATAAGGATCTGAGAGTCACTGGAAAGGCTCTCTTCAACGGTGTATACAGTGTCTCCACCTGAGTCAGTTTGAGATTCAAATACTGACTGAAAATAATTTGAAAACAACTCAACTATTTGTTTAGGGTCGTCGGATGAAATACTGCCATATTTAATTAATTTAGGATATCCTAAATTAGTTTGTTTTAAAGTAGACGTATATTTCCAAAAATGTTTGATATTTGTTTTTAGCGGTAGTGCAATCCCTTCTATATATCGATTATAACAAAGTTTCATAAGACTTTTAACACGCGCCCTTAACCCTTAATTTGGCAGAGATCCGAGTTGTTTTATTTTATGAAATAAGATGTATATCTGAAATCCTAGGGTTAAATACAACTTAGGAAAAATGGACAAAAAAATATTTTCCTTTCAGATTTTCAGGAAATCAACGTTCATCACAGTGAACACTGCGAAATATGTTGAGGATTTGTAATGTTCACTGTGGTAAACGTTGTCAAATTAGTGTCATATAAACAGGTAAATTAAAAACATTATACATATCATTAAATCAACTTATTTATTATGAAAATGTAAAAAACAATTGCGAGGATTTTTTCCCGTAACAAAACAAAGTCTCACATTGCATTTTATACAATATACAGTTGTGTTTTTCTGGCAAAACTTGCATCGCCCCATGTCTTCTTTTGTGCTGGGAAAATGTCCTGTATTATCGAATCTGATGGGGCTTGTAGGCCTGGCTGATCTTGGGTTTATAATTTTATATTCTTGTATATTTTCACGAGGTATAGATCTATTTTTCTTTGTTAAACTTAAGTAAATTTCATATCGGAAAACTTTCAATGACTTTGATTTTCGTTGACTTCCCTGACAGTTACGTTTATACAATAGCCATGCATTATTTATACACACATCAAGAAGTTGGCTAAATATTCCTATGTACCACCTTCTACACTCGCGAGCAAACAAATCGACTCAAGCGCTACCTCTGCATTCAAAGATTGTTTTAAGTGAAAGTATACAACATTTTAATAAAAATGATATGTCATTTAAAAGCTTAAAACTTCACTTTTATGAGATGTCATCATTATTAATAACCATATATCCTTTTTTTTATTATTGGTGTCTGAACTTAAATGGGGGAAAATGGCAATTTTGAGTAAAGGAGTTGTGTTCAGAATTGACAAATAAAGATCGATTATTTTTCTTAAAGAGTATAACATTTATTGGTTCACTATTTGGTATTGCCCCCCCTAGCCCTTATTCAGCCCGTATTTGGTTCTTCATCGACCTTATTAATTTTTTGACGGTGTCTTGAGGAATACTTTCCCACTCCTTAACAAAGATGCCTTCAATTCTTTAAGGCTCGAATGGGTATTTCTTGCTCGTACCCTTTGTTTGAGCTCATCCCATAAATGCTCGACGGATTTATGTCTGGACTGACCAAGCCAGTCCATTTCCAAATCGACTTCTCAATAAAATCTGATAACCCCTTGTGGCATCGAGCATTGTCATCATTAGGATGAAGTCTTCGTCAACAAATCCTCGTAGGGCACAACATGTTCCAGGAGAATATTTGTGATGTACCCTTCAGGTGTTAGTCCTGCTCTTCGGCCTCTCCACACAAAACGAGCTGGGTTTTACCCTCCAACAGATACCAGTCCACATCATCAACAACCGCCACCATAGGCAACGATTTCTGCACTCAGCATTGGAAAATCGCTCTCCCGGACGCCTTAGACCCGCCTCTTCTTACTCCATCAGACACATCCCCACTCGTCAGTGAACAATCACCCCATTGCCCAATGCTCAGTTAAGATGCTCTCGAGCAAACTGTAGCCGAGATTGCCGTGGCCTCAGTCAATTTGGGGCCCGTTGCAGCCTTTTTAGTCAGGTTGGCTTCCTTCAATGTCTTCTTACTATCCACTCCTACAGCTATACCTCGAACACGTCTCAGCTCGCCCTCACTCACACCCTAAGGTGCCATTTCGCAGGGAGGTTGAGACAATGAAACGGTCGTCTCTTCAGAAGTACAACGTGGCGGCTGGTTGTTGGTCTCCAGTGAATGCTCCAGTCTCTTGTCTATCGTCTGTATATTCGGGATACAGCAGACTGACTCAAGTGAAGCTGGGAAGCGACTACTCGCTGACTGAGTCCTTGTTGCAATAAGGCAAAAATTTGAGCGGCTTCTTCAGGTGTGGTATCCATGGTTTCTTGATCACAATGAGTGCAGGTTGCGGAGACGTGTATCGGTCAACTGTTGATAAGCGACTGATAAGGGTTGAAGGGTAACGGGGGTTTTATAGGGGTAGAGGGTAGCGCAACTGGCTGGTAGCGTAGTGAGTAATTTGTCCCATACGCCCTAATTGCGCAAATTACCATGTTGGTAGTTGTTTTATTTAATCGTGTTGATGTTTTTTTTAAAGCTTAGGTTTCAAGCTTTCAAATGACATATCATTTTTATTAAAATGTTGTATACTTTCACTTAAAACAATCTTTGAATGCAGAGGTAGCGCTTGAGTCGATTTGCTTGCTCGCGAGTGTAGTTTTGAATGGAACTTTATATAGTGATATCAGCCAGGTCTACACCCCCCATATGTTTATTATACTCGCGAACTATTTGCGGACAATCCACTTCTATTTTTTGTTTCTGTTCTTTGCAATACCTTTTTATTTTTTGTACTGGTTCAGATCCAATAAATGAGCTTATAAGAGTTACAGGTTTATTATCATTCCAGCGTACTATAACTAATTTGTTTGCATCACAGACAACTTGTGAAATAGCTCCCCTCTGTTTTTTCTTCGTCACCTTTTCATCCGGTAGCAACTTTTCAGCTCCTCTAATCCGGTTGCTTCGTATTGTACCAAGACCAAAGAAACCGTAGTTTTCTTTCAGTAGGTAAAAAAGCTCTGCGATGAGAAAAAGTAAAGAAAACCATAGCCCACCACACAAAGCACATTATTTGTAAATAAAAGTTATCCCTAATTTGGCAATGTTCATCACAATAAACATATCAAATTGACAGTACTTATTCGAGTATTTGGCAGTGTTCACTGTGATGAACTACCAAGTTTGCCTCCAAATAAAAGTTACCAAAAACACAAAACACTGCATAAAACCCATTCCAAACCAAAGCAGAAGTATTGTTTAGCAAATATAAACCATAAAAAGTTAGTTTAGTCAAATATAACATAATTAAAAAAAATATTTACCTTGCGAAGAATCGAGTGCCCGCGTCTCGCTGACATCTTGTCTCAATAATGACAGATTAACGATGATGTCATTTGTAGAATAATTTTTTGTACCGATAAATACAAATTAAACTTGCTATAACTAAAATAAAAACCGAAAAATAGTAGAAAATAGTCGCTCAATATTTATTTTTCATGAGTGTTTATCACAGTGAACATAATCAAATTAAGGGTTAATAAAGAAAATTCTTGATAGTCGAGCAAGTTTTTGTAGGTCTACCAGCGACACCAGAGTTTCTTCTTAGGATTAAGAGCTCTTATCAGTCCTCTGCTAAACCTGACTGGATACTTACGGGATTTAGTACGGGGTTTAGAGAATGGCACGCTAACAGAAATAATGTCATTTATTTTTGAGTAGAAGATGGCAACAGCATCTTCAGAATGGGACGAGGCCAGTATTGACACCCAATCTACCTTATCGATAGCATTATTTATTAAGTCATAATCTGCATTAAATCAATTTATTTGATTGAAAATAGCTGATGTTATGACAATTGACCTATTAGCAGTACTAAGAATATCTAAAGGCGGGTGATGAGGAAAAGGATTAAGCAACGGGTCATCGGAATAATCAACACGCTAGGGAAGTGTTGTTAGACTATGTCTAGAAGCAGCGCATTGCTTTTGTGGACAACATTAGTTTGTTTTAAATTCATGAAAGACATGGTATGCAACAAAAAAACGACGGGACTCCGGGAGTACCGGCAGAAGTGAAAACTTGAATATTAACGTTGTGCATTTTTGATATTTTGGAATGGTTAGGGAATAATTTTGCACGAATTGCTTAAATCATCAGTATAAAAGTACTATCATTTATGTAGAATACAATATTTATTTATTGCGCTATCGTGCACAAACATGACAATTTATATTACATTAAATACGCCACGCCAGCTGTCTACTCTCCATAGTGGAGCGCCTGGGGGTGTTCACCTCGGATTAGAGTTACAGTGAATTAATTAATATGATCGATGTGGGATATTGTTTTTTTAAACTATAAATTTTTATGCACTCCATTGTTTCATTGTTTAAACAAATTATTATGAAAAATTAATGTATGACCATATATTTTCACTTTAAACAGCAATTTTTTTTATTTATATGTTAAATCTTAGCTGAGTAGACATATTATAGGAACATTTTTCAAAGATACGTGTGTATAAAAATAGCAGTAGGGATCTCGAACAGGTAGAAAAACGTGGAGGGAAGAGCGGAGCGATAGCTGCTATGTACAATGGAATTTCTCGGTCTCGGCTATTTTTATACACATTTTTTATATGATTTAACATATAAACATATAATTAAAAAAAATAACCGATTTAATAAACAATTCACCAAATATTTATTATTGTTAAATCTATCATTTAATAAAGTCCAGGACTGATCATAATTCGCTGCAGATAAAGTAACATGTCGCAATATCTGTTCGGCTTCTCCAGAAAGAAGCCCCTTTAAATAATGAAATTTTTCTATTTTGTCTAAAGATGTGTTGTTATGGATTAAGGATTCGAATAGGTCTTTAAAGGTTTGCCAATCTGAATAATTTCCCGAAAATACAGGAATACTAATTTTTGGTAATCTTAAATTTGATTCACCTTTACGAGACTGATTATTCATACAAGGATTATCCATTACATTGTCAGAGTTGGGCAACACATCCAATAAACTTAGTTTATAATTTAAGTATGTGTCCTCCAACTCTTCATATACATTTAAATATTCTTCTTCAATTGTGCTATCAAAATTTTCTAAAATCCTGTTGTACCACAAAGAACGGTTCGGTGGCCGTCGATACACAATTCATATTAAAATAATAAGTCCTGAGTACATACCTCGTCAATGTCTCCTTACAAAAAGATAGGCACACAATATTATCAGCCGTAAGGATTTGGGATTAGTTTTAGTATGGGCACAAAAAGAGGTTAGACTGATGATGATTGATACCTTGCCTCACAATAGTTCTTAAACACGCACTAAAACACTCACTATAAAATTCTAAATAGTGGACGTATCTATAATCAACTATAATTAACAAAAAGTATATACGTATTATTCAAATAAAAAATGCTAGATGCACGAGAACACGTAACCCGAAAGAAGCTCAACAAAGACTAACAAAAAATGTGTCGATCAGCCGTGTAAAAATATTTGGCATCACCCTCATCAATTTTAAAAAATTAATATAATGTATTTCGAACAGTCCCCCGTCCCAGTCAGGCGCAACATGACTGAGTCCAAAACCGGAGGCTGGGAGCAAAGTTTATGCCACTGGGAGACGTGACAAGCCCGCCACGGCTCTTTTTAAAACCGATTCCCCAACGACAAGAGAAATAACTCTTAATCCCGGAAGAGGCTCAACAAGTTCCGTTTTAGTGTGAGGCCAGCAACTCTCGGGTTGGTACAGCCAACCTGGAGCCCAAAAAACAACTGGAGCTAACCATCCATTAGGATCATATATCCTGGCTACAGTCGAAAGTACTACACGCTTGGTCCAAGATTTAATTACATGTATATCCTGCACGCGAAAAGTAAATAATATATCAGCTAACTGTTGATACTGAATACCTAATACTGCAACAGCGTCAGGGTTGTCCACGTTCTGAAAAATATAAGGATCTTGTTGATGATCCTCGGGTAAACCAGCAAGAACAGCTTGTGAGTTAGACACCCATTTCCTTAACTCATATCCACCAGCCTTAAGAATCCCAATTAGCTCGTTGCGTAGTATTAAAGCTTCTTTCTCATTTGCAGCGCCGGTGCAAATGTCGTCAACGAAAACATCACTTGTCAAAACATCAGCTGCTCTTGGAAATTGCAAACGTTCCCGCTCAGCCAATTCTAATAATGTACGAATAGCAATATAAGGACTTGATCTGAGTCCATATGTATTGGTATTCAATTCAAATACTGTAACAGGATCGGATTCCTTCTCACGTCACAGGATAAGTTGATAGCAACGGTCATGAGTATGAATTACAGTTTGCCTAAACATCATTTTAATATCTGCAACAAATACGATCTGATGTCTTCTAAAATTTGTTAAAATATCACCAATGTCACGATGTAACTTTGGGCCCGAATGCAAACATTGATTTAAAGAAACTCCATTGGAACTAGGCGCTGAGCCATCAAAAACTACTCTGATTTTACCACCTTTAAACACAGCATGATGTGGGATAAAGAAGTGCTACTGTGTGCGCCAATCAAAATCAGAAACTGACATGTCCGAGCTTAAAGTACTCGTCCATTGAATAGCTTCAGCAAGTGAGAGTCCCACACACAAGTTACCATCTTCAACTGTAAGAGACTGTATTGGAAACACAGGACCCATAATGACATCACCAAAATCAGATGTAACTGCTACTAAGCCCCCTGGTTGTAAAAGTGTGCTTTTACTTAGTCGCAGCATGCCTAAAACTTCTGCTCCGAGTAGCAAATCAATTTGACCTGGAATATGAAATGTACAATCCGCTAAGTTAAGACTACGTGTAAAATCTAATATCTCCGATGGTAATTTAACAAGTGGGTGTCTGCCCATAACATTATCTAAAATAATGGCAGAAGTTGTAATCTGTGGATGAGAGCATTGAACAGAAGAAAAAGTTAGTGTAACTTGTCCCCGCAAACCAGCAACCTTAAGACCACCTTCACCAAATATACCCCCGCTAGCAGGCGAAATACGCAACTGTAACCTGTCCACCAAATCCATTGACACCAAACTTCCCTATGCTCCAGAATCCAAAATCGCACGCGTGGTTACTTGCTCACCTGATAGAGAACCAACACAAACCTGTGCGGTGGGTAACAAAACAGTAATGGGAGATGTAGGAGTTCTAGTGGGAACGTGACCTAGTCAATATTCTTCTGGTTCATAGACCCGCTGGCCTAAACGAGGCCACTCAGAAAAAGGCAAAGGCCTAACAAAATCACGACGTTGCTGTTCAATAACAGGTGATGCACAAGAGTCATAATTATCCTTGCTCTTAGGAAGTTGTTGCTGATCAGAGGTGACACGAGGCCTGTTATGAGACCTGAAAGGGTGGTGGCCGCCTCCGATGGTAATTATCGTAACCGGATTCTGTATGGTGCCTGGAAGTATGACCAAACGTACGGGGTCTAACTTGCACACCACCAGTCCACTGATCACCTGTATTTTTAATGGCTTCAACAAACTCCCGTGCCGGTTCCACTGATTGGGGTGAACCATTCGCATTACCGCAAAGTATAATGTGATGATCGCCATTACATTGTTTGCATGGTCATGACACTTGGCATTGTGATGCCAGGTGATTACCTAAACAACCATAACACCACTTCCGCTGTCTGGCAATATTACGTCGTGCTTGAAAACGTAATGCCAAAAACTTTTGACATGACACCACGGTGTGATCAGGGACTCGACAATAAACACAACGTTTGCCTGGATGTTGAGTTGCCACGTTATAAACTCGCTGGTCAGGGCGTCGTACTAAGCGCATATGCTGTTGTCGCGGCCCAGTAGAAATTGGGGCCGGCGTTGCGGACGGCGCTGGAACATTATCCTGTCTGCGACACACTGCATCCTCTAAAAACTAAATCAATTCATCAAACGAGGGAAGATGAGTGGATGAATCTCCACCATACGCCTGTTCAAATCGGGTGCCCATGTCTAAATTTAGTTTTTGTAACGTTATATGCAACAAAATAAAAGACCTACTATCTACAGGTAAATTTAAACCCCTTAAGGCATTAATTGCCACTAATAAAGGATTTAAAACTTGCATTCTTAAGTCGTGGCTCTGCACGTTACTCTGTAAATTTAATATGACATCTACGTGGCTATCCGCCAGCTTACGTATGTTTTGACAACGCCGCATAAGTAAATCTCTAGCTATATCATAATTATTGTCCACAAGTACTAAATGTTGGACTATCCCTTTAACCTCCCCGGTGAGACTAGCCAACAAATATGCCAACTTTTGAGCAGATGTTAAATCAACTCTTGAGTGCACTAAACTATCAAATAAATGAATAAACGCCACCCATTGGCTTAAATCGCCACTAAAATGGGGCAAATCTAGTTTGGGTAACCTACCTATAAGACCACTTGAAAAAGTTAAACTATCCTTCGATTGAAGGTTATTTGACTGATTAACCGAAGATTTAATAATCCCAACGGCTTCCCTAATTTGATCAGCCAAATCCTCCAAGCCTGATCCATGTCTGCAGAAACCTTGTCCATCACCTCCGGTTCCAAACCCAACTCAAGTAATGCCTGATACTATTTATATAAATCTTTCATTCTATCCTCTAACGCGTCACTTCTTGATAGAAGCGCCTGAACGCGATCTTTTCGCGAAATATTTAAAACGGCCGATCCTAGCCACCGTAATACACCAGCTATTTGTGCCGAGCTATTAGTTGACGACGGCTGCTTCCTAACAGCACCGAGTTAGCGCGCTATTAGCTGATGATGACTGCCTGCGCCTCCAAAGGTGCTTCTAGCCACGCCCTGCTGGCGTGTCTAGCTGATGTTGACTACCTGCGCCTCCAAAAGGTGCTTCTAGCCACGCCTTGCTGGCGTGTTTAGCTGATGATGACTGCCTGCGCCTCCAAAGACTGCTTCTAGCCACGCCCTGCTGGCGTGCCTAGCTGGTGATGACTTCCTGCGCCTCCGAAGACTGCTTTGCTGCTCCTCGCCACGCCTTCTACTCGCGGATTGTTACACTTCACTTTCACTATCACTTTTCTTCTCGGTTGGTAAAGTGCGCGGGCACTTCATTAACCAAGCGGTCGTAAACCCACGCCCGGGTCACGAGGATGCACCTTCAGGGCGATCCACCTCTGGTTTCTAGTGCAATGCGATAGATCGCGGTCTATCCGGCTAGAAGGACCAATGTATAATTCTATCCAAGCTCCCTGGTGAGTCCGCGAGTAAACTAAATAAAAATTTCTGCTAATTTTTTTTACCAAATTTAGATAGAAACAATCTATCCTTTCTCAAAAAAAGCTGTTATCAACAAATGACAATTTATTTATGTCAATTATATTTATTTTGTTTGAATAATACGATAAACTATCCAACGTCACATTTAATTTGTATCTTAAATTATTTTCCTTCTGCGTCAAACTCTTACTATTACTCTTTGAAGATGGTCAAATAGTTTTGTTATTGTTATGGTGGGTGGCCAGGTTGGCGTTTATTAAAATAAGACGACATTACTGTTATTCATAAACATATATTCAGCCATGACAGGCGGTCCGAGACATACTACAGGAAACGGAAAACCATAGATAATATTAAATCATAGATACGTAACAGTTATTGATTTCTTATTTGCATTCTCCCTATTTCCTATAATTATTATTAAATAGTCATTTTCTCTAAACTTACATTTTAATATTTTTCAGACATTTCATTGAAAGAAATGCCAGGCATACAATAACTGCTTACACTTTGCCCCATCTGGTCCATTAATATGTATCCCAAATCTTTTCCCACTTCATCGCTAAACATAACATAATTACTGTTTATTTTTAAAGAAACATTTTCTTTTGTGTTAACATTATTATTGAGGCTAAGCTGTTCAGAGATTGACGGTTCACACACTGACAAAGACCATTCAAGTTGGTCCAAGTCAACCAGGCGGTGCCAGGGAATCCACCAGGTTAATGTTGTTCAGGTGGTGATTGAGGTTCAGTGTGTGTACCCTCATGCTCCTCTTGGAAGACAATGCATTATATTTATGTGTAATGTTCGCCAGAGACACTTGTAAGCACTTTATTTTATCATTTAATAATAATATATTACATTCATACATTTCTTGATTTTCCTTAATTTGTTTGGAATAGGATTCTAACTTGTCAATTAATGCTATATGCTGTTTTTTATTTTTTAAGCCATTTAAATAGCTTTTAAATTTTTTTTAAATCTTAATTATTAGGTTATTAAAACAAATCAATAACGTATTCCTAGTGTACAATCACTAATTACAAAATTATGAACATTTACACACGCAATTCTATTATCAAGTCGATAGTTGACCGACGCGACGTTATTCGCCCGATCACCCGCAACAACTCCTTTACAAATTACAAGTGGTCAAGTAATTCAACATTCTTTTTTGATACTGGCTGTATTGAGCCGCAGTAGCGACAACAGTGTTTTACTCGCGCTCCGCGTTCTAAAAATTCCTTAGAGGGTTTTCTGGTGTTTTTTTCCTGGTCTTGTGAGGGGTACCAAAAGAAGTAACGTGCTGAGTATTTTGGTGTATGAGTTAACTTTGAGTGTTGTGTACTTTATATTATATAAAGTAAAAAGAAGTGAGGGAAATTGACCCTGAGCATATCCGGATGACGGCGACCGGAGCTCGAATGCTGCAGGTATCCTACAAAATTCGAGCTTAAGACGGTTTTAGTAATAGGAATTCCGACTAACGAAGACGACACGATAGTCGAACAAGATAACTGACTGAGGATGTAATTAACTTTGACCTCGAAGCGGGCGCGCATGGCTCTTACCTTGGGGCACCTGTCTAAGTCGGTACAGTTGGGTGTCAGTGTTTGAGTTTTTTTTTTTTTTTTTTTTTTTTTTTTATTCGTTATCTCAAAGATTTTACAATAGCTGATAAGTGATTGGGACCTCCTTTTAAGCGCATAAGCACTTGTGTTAGGAGAACCCGCTCTTCCATTACATAGGTATACTAACTAATTATAATTTAATTTAACACGTATAGCTAAGCTAAGTATTACAATTTTACAATTTACTAAACATAATCTAAGGTTAAAATGTGAATAATGATATATGTGTGTATGTGTATGTGTGTGTGTGTGTTTGTGTGTTTATGAGAATGAATTTTCATGACTGATTGTAGAAGTTGACTATTTACTAGTGTATTATGATTCATGATTACCTACAAAGGCTTCAGTGTCTTCATAGCTAAATGTTTCTAGGATGTTAAGTAGCGACGTTTTACATTCATGTTTATTCAATGTGTATATATTTAATATTTTATTTAATTTATTATAAAGTTTAGCAGCTTGGCATTGAAATTGTCTCATAGCAAAAACTGATTTAGATCTCTCAACAGGAGCAACAGTATATTTGCGTCTTTTGCTCAGTTTGCGACCATCATATTTAAGAGACTTGTGCAATCTTAAGGTAGTGCAAAAAATGTACAGTTGCCTGACCGATAAGACACCACAAGAGGCATAAAGATCAGAGGTGGAAAATCTATAAGGCTTAAACATCATTACTTTTAGTAAAATTCTTTGTGCCCTCTCCAGTTCCAGGAACTTCATCTTTGTAGCACCCCCCCAAACTGGGATACAGTACACTAAAATTGACTGAGCCAGCGATGTGTATATCTGTATTAGTAGATGTTTGTCAGCGATTTGCCTTAGAGTTTTAAATGTCCAAATAAGCTTTCGAATCCTACTTATAACTTGTTCTAGGTGCTCATGCCATGACATTCTTTGATCAACTACCACTCCTAGATATTTAGTGTGATGAACTTTATTTATAGTTTTACATGTACAGTTTACTCTGGTGCTACAGTTATGTATTTTTATTTCTAGATCTGTTTGAGGTTGGGCGCTATTGTATTTAGTGAAGAAAATGTAGTTAGTTTTACTTACGTTTAATGATAATAAGTTTTCTCTTAACCAGTTATCTATTTTGGAAAGCCCTATTTCTGTATGTCGACGCACCGAGTCAATAGTTTTCCCAGT